GAAAGGCGCCACTCTAGGGGGGCTCCACAGCCGACCCGCCGGTGTTGCTAGGGTAGAAAATTTTCCGACGATCGTGCACGCGGCGCGCGCACACCTAATGGAATGGATATGAGCAAGCACTCGAAGAAGAACTAGATAAGTTCATGGAGGATAGGTTTATCAGTAACTAATAGCCAAGGTAATCAGGGACACAACCCAATGCTCAGGATGACCCTAAACTCGGATTGCTGATGCTGGGAGGGGAAGGCATGGGTGGATCTCTCCAACTGTCCTGTTTTGTACACTTCCCTGAAACTCTGGTACTGGCCGCTCTCGAAGAAAGGATACTGGGCTAGATAGAACATTGGTCTGACTCAGAATGGCAGTTCTTAAGGACATCAGGACTTCAAAAAAGCAGACTTTAACAGACTTAGAACTGGTAGGTAAGGTCCCATGGGAAGAAAACCTAAGGGATAGAGAAGTTCAGGAGAGCTGGCATTTCTCAAGGGACAATATTAAAGGCACAACTGCCTACTATTCCAATGGGAAGGAAAGACAAGAAAAATATTAATATGACTTCATCAGGAGCTCTTTAATGACCCGATAATCAAAAAGAAATCCTACAAACATGGACAAATTGCTAAGGAGTGCAAAAGAAAAGCACAAGCATATAGGGACAAGAATGTAGAAAGGCTAAGGCACAAAATGAGTTACACCTAGTTAGATGTATTCAAGTCAGCAGGGCCTGATGAAATTCATTGTAGAGTACTAAAGGAACTAACTGAAGCAATCTTGGAACTGTTCTCAATTACCTTTGAGAACTCATGGAGGACAAGTAAGGTCCCAGAGGACTGGAGAATGGCAAATAGAATACCTATCTTTAAAAAGGAGAACAAAGAGGACTCAGGTAATTATATACCAGACAGTCTAAGTATGATACCTGGAAACATACTGTAACAAATTTTTTAACAATTAATTTGTAAGCATGATGGGGATAATAGGGTTATCAGGAATAGCCAACATGGATTTGTCAAAAAGAAATCATCCCAAACCAATCTAATTTCCCCATTTGGATTTTTTTTTTTTTTGGACAGAGTTAGTGACCTTGCGGATGGGGGTGGGAAAAACATGATTTATCTTGATTTTAGTAAGGCTTTTGACATGGTCCCACATGACATTCTCGTATGAAAACTGGGGAAATATGGTCTAGATGAAATTACTATAAGTTAGGTGCTTAGCTGGTTGAAAGACTACATTCCAAAAGTAATTATCAACAGTTTGCTGTCAAACTGGGAGGGTGTATCCAGTGGAGTCCTGCAGGGGACAGTCCTGGGTCTGCTACTATTCAATATGTTCATTAATGACGTGGAATACAGAGTGCAGAGTATGCTTATAATATTTGTGGATGACACCATCTGGGAGGGGTTGCAAGTACTTTGGAGGATACAATTAGAATTCAACTGCTTAAACCATGAGGCCATCCTTTCTCTATGTGCAATCTACTGCTTCATTCATTCCACACCTTAGTCTTTAAGGTGCCACCAGACTCCTTGTTGTTTTTGTAGATACAGACTAACACGGCTACCCCCTGATACTCCACACCTTTCAGCTTCTTGAGCAAATGAGACTGAGGTGCAAAAGACAACAGCCTCCTTTACTAGACAACCCTAGTTATCCCCAGCACATGGTCCATCTTGTGCACTGAATAAGACAGAAGTTCTGTGGAAAAATAGTATATGATCATGTAACTAAATACTATTATAATGACTATACCAAAGGGAAGTGTATTAAGGTTGTACAGGCAACCTTAATTCTAGCATTTCCTAACCTTTGAGTGCTTGACTTTGCAATATGAACAGTCTTTAAACTTAATTTGGTTTATATATTTTCCTAGCCCCCTAGCTCTGGGGTGGGGCTGGGAATGAGGGGTTAGGGGTGCAGGAGGGTGCTCCTGGCTGGGAAGTGATATTGACCATCCTATATCTCATCAGCACTATTGGAACTATAGATATAAAACACATCTTTATCATTTGAGCTAATGGAATAACTGACAGAGAATAATAGCCTATTATTTCTATGTGTACCAGTCTCTAAAGGGGGATATGAGACACAATTTGCAAGTAGGTTTCACAGCTATTTATCAGACAGCAGAGGACACAAACTCAGGAATCTTGGCTTCCAGTCCAGGTCCTAAAAGGGGGCATGGTCTCTTGGTTACAGATCCTTCTATCCTTGTCCACCATGTCTGCCTCCTCTTCCCTTAGCATGTATCCCCTCAGCCTTTCTCTGCCCCACATCTGACATATATTCTCCATCTGCCCTCCCTGTTCCTATCACCTTCCATAGCGCGTCTTTGCCTCTCCCATTCCTCACTCCTCTGCAGTCCAGTTAGGCTGCTTCCTCCTTTGCCTTCAGGCAGCCTGGTCACCAACACAAGCTGCACTGAGAGCACCAGAGAGGCAGTCTCTATGCCCTTAGTTCCTATGCCCACAGCCACTGCAGCTCGGAGGAACAAATACAGGGAAAATTCTGCTCAGCCCCTGCAGCTGTGGGGATGGAGCACAAGTAGTACAGAAAGAAAGTTCAGATAATTTGGCTGCCAAACTCAAGCAGGCCTTTACTGAGCACATGCTAACTATGTTTTTAGAGAGGCTTCTAACTGGCCTAACATTTGAGATGATTTTTATGGGGATGGCAAAATGCATATCCCTGATACCAGGTCAACTCCCCTGCCAAATTTTAAGTCTCTGCTTCAACACATGGAAGCACTAGAATGTATCAATGAAGTATGTGTGTATATTTGAAGTTTTTAACATGGGAAAAACAACATTTTTTCCTAACCTTGTTTTGAGAAATGACTGAACCATTTTAGCTGAAATCTTAAATCATAAATAAATGGTTCGAGGGAGACACCCAGAATGGAAAATTTCAGTCCAAATGATTAAAGTTTGACAAAGTTATAAGCAACTGAAAATAAGCTCTTATAATAGAAAATGCTGAGTAATCTTAACTACATGTATCGCTACCAGCTCTGCATAAAATTATAAGTACACTTTCTTAATGTTATGTATTTTTAAACTATCATCGCAGGGATGTGCCTTATTGGGAAGAATTTACTTTCACAGAGAAATACCAAAATAGAGGTCTCAACAAGCCCAGCAAGTCACCTTGAGTATGAACTAATATCAAGATATTGTCATTGTACTGACTCAGCAATACCTGTACTCACAAACCTGCAACTGCAGTCAAGAATTAGAGAGAACTGAACCTGAAAGCGAGGAGAAGTTGGAAGCTGGAGTAATCACCATACTGAAGAAATACCAGCAAGTTAGACAGCTATAAAACTCCAGTGGAAAAATTGAAATCTGCCATTCTAGAGGGAATCCTTTAATCTCAAAGTGCATTTTCATTAGATTAATATTAAGCTTTCCCAATGCAGATAAAACAGACTGACCTGATAATGGGGTTTATACCATTGTTTCAAATCCCAGTCCCAAAGAATCATCTGTAAAAGAGGCAAAATAAATAGTAATGAGTTATATGCTAATAGTCAAAAAGTGTGTATTAGTAATAGAATACATCTTGATCAGTTCATGCTATTTACAATAATTCCCTCCAAATTTTGGTGGGTGGGAAAGGTTAATTTTCAACTGATCATTTCATTGTCTCAATTACTAACATTAAAACAAAAGTCATGATAAAGTACGAAAACCAAATATAGCAATAACTGTCAGTAAAAGATTTATATTTTAAGAGCAATACAATTTACTTATTGATAAAGTAACTATATGGTCTTTTTTTTAATCCTGCAAGATTTGAGACAGTAAAAAAGTCATACATCAGACAGGTCACAGCAGTGGGTGGTGATGCTGCTTTTCTATTTGTATTTATCTAGTTATAAAGGTAAACAAAATGCATCTACGCTAAGCTCTAAGCACTCTTGGAAATAATTTTTAAACAGCAATAAAAACAATGGTCGCAATATACATTTACAGCAAAAGGAAAAAAATGAGAAAAAAGTTTCACTTCCCCCTAAAATAACCCCCTTAAGCAACATCCACTCCCCCAAAATGCTCACAAAAGAAAAGTCTTGCGGTGAACAAATATTGTCTATTTTGGACCCATAGTGAGGATGGGGGGGGATTTGAAAGCCATGGAAAATGCCCTGTCAGCATCTCCTCTATATATCCAAGAAGTCCCATCTTCATCTTCTGTAAATCTGAACTGCAGAACTGTAGCATAAGCAGAGAGGAAGACTCTCAAGTAAGCAGATTCAAGGCCATTACAGAGATTTACAGGTAAAAACGAACACCTTTAAATATCCCTGGCAACTAGTGAGATGCACTGGTCTAATGTATTCACCGCAAGACAGTCCACTTCATAGAATCATAAAAATATAGGACCGGAAGGGACCTCAAGTCTAAGTTCAGTCCCCTACGCTGATGCAAGATCAAGTAAACATAGACCATTCCTGACAGGTGTTTGGCCATATGTTCTTAAAAACCTTATTGGTCAGAATTCCACACCCTCCTTTGGAAGCCTCTTCCGGAGCTTAAACTACCTTTATAGTGAGAAAGTTTTTCCTAATATCTAACATAAATCTCCCTTGCTGCAGATTACACCCATTACTTCTTGTCATACCTTCAGTGGACATGAAGAGTAAATGATCAGTCTCTTTAGAACAGCCCTTAACATAGCTGAAGACTATTATCAGGTCCCCCCTTAATCTTCTCCTTTTAAGACTAAACATGCTCAGCTTTTTTATTCTTTCCTCATAAGTCAGATTTTCTAAACCTTTTATCATTTTTGTGGCTCTCTTCTGAACTCTCTACAATTTGTCCACACCTTTCCTAAAGCGTGGCGCCCAGAACTGGATACAGTACTACAGCTTAGGCCTCCACAGTACCGAGGCCTAAGCAGGACAATTACCTCCCATGTCTTACACACTACTTTCCTGTTAATGCACCCCAAAATGATATTAGCCTTGTACACGGCTGCATCATATTATTGACTCATATTCAATTTAGGATCCACTATAACTAAGGCTACGATTATATCATGGAAGTCACGGAATCTGTGACATCGGAGGCCCCCAAAGATAACCAGCCGTCCTGTAGTGTGAAAAACTGCTATCTGACTGAATGTGCTACTTAGGGTGTACTGAGCATGCTCACACGAACTGAGCCTGCTGAGTAACATCTGCTGAAGCCAGCAGCAAGGGACCCCTGCAGCAGCCCAGCCTCCACAGGCGACCTGCAACTGACTGGCCACCAGTGTCAGCAGGGACCCCATTGCTCCCTAGCTGCCACCGCTGGCAAAGCCCTGCCTGCAGCTGCTCAGCTGCTGCGAGCAGCTGATCCCCATCCTCCCCCCGCCACAGGGAGAGGGATTCTGGAGCTGCTCAGTGGCTGCTGGAAGGGCCCCCCCTACAGCTCCCCAGCCGCCGTCAATGGTGGCGGTGGGACCCTCCCTCTCCCCGCAACTGACTGGCCACCAGTGGGGACCCCTGAGCTGCCCAGTTACTGGCAGCAGCAGAGACCCTGGAGCTGTTCAGTGGCCACAAGGGACCCCCATATCTCTCCAGCCGCTGCCACGAGCAGCCACCACCCCCACCCCCTGCAGCTCACAGCTGCCTCCGGCCATGGCAGAGGGACCCCAGAGCTGCTCAGCGGCTACTGAAAGGGGCCCCCCACAGCTCCCCAACCGGCTCTGCAGGGCAATGGGGACCCTATAGCTCCCAGATGCTGCAGGGGGGTTGAGCAGCATGCTGGACCCTCTTCCCTCCCTATTTTGTCAGGAATGTTTTTAGTAAAAGTCCGGGACATATCATGGCTTCCATGATTTTTTGTTTCTTGGCCGCGATCTGTCCACGACTTTTACTAAAAATATCCATGACAAAATCGTAGCCTTAACTATAACCCTCATATGCTTTTCATCAGTACTACCACCTCACCAGTTAATCCCTCTTTTGTAGTTGTGCATTTGATTTTTCCTTCTCAAGACTCTGGCCTTGTCTTTATCGAACCTCATCTTGTTGATTTCAGACCAGTTCTTTAATTATCAAAGTCTCTTTGAATTCTAATCCTGTCCTCCAAAGTACTTGCAACCCCTTCCAGCCTGGAGTCATCCACAAATTTTATAAGCATACTCCACACGCTATAATCCAAGTCATTAATGAACAGACTGAATAGTACCAGACCACACGACTGGCCCCTTCAGAACCCCACTAGATAGGCCTTCTAACTAACTAACTGCATGTGGTTTTTTTATCCAATTAAGCATGCACCTTACAGTATTTTCATCTAGACCACATTTCCCTAGTTTTCTTATGAGAATGTCATGTGGGTCTGTGTCAAAAGCCTTACTAAAATCAAGATATATCATGTCTACTACTTTCTCCTTATCCACTAGGTCAATAACCATCAAAAAAGGAAACTAGGTTTGTTTGGCATGATTTGTTTTTGACAAATCCATGCTGTCTATTCCTTATAACCCTATTATCCTCTAGGTATTAAACAATTAATTTATAAACAATTTGTTACAGTATGTTTCCAGGAATCATATTTAGGCTGACTGGTATATAACTCCCAATTCCTCTTTGTTCCCCTTCTAAAGATAGACAATATATTTGACCTTCCCTAGTCCTCTAGGACTTCACCTGTCCTCCATGAGTTCTCAAAGATAATTGCTAACAGTTCTGATATTGCTTCAGTTAGTTCCTTAAGTACCCTAAAATCAGGCCCTGTCAACTTGAATACCTCTAATTTATCCAAATATTCTTTAATCTAATCTTTCCCTATTTTGGCTTGTGCTCACTCCCCCTTGTTAATATGAATTGTGTTGAGTATTTGGTCTCTAGTAACCATTTTAGCAAACATTGAAGCAAAATAGACATTAAATACCTTAGCTTTCTTAATGTCATCAGTTATTAGCTCTTCTTCCCTGGTAAATAGGAGACCCACCCTGGTAAATAGGAGACCTATTCTATGCTTCATCTTTCATTTAACAAGCGGTAGGCCACATTCTATACCAGTTCATTTTCAAGTGGATTCAAGAAAAAGCTTCAAGTGGAGAATATTCCTGTACAGTAATAGAGTCACAAATTAATAAAAGTATGAATTACAATGAGGTCCTTTTTGGTAAGAAAAGATCATAACCTCCTAACCAGATGCAAACATAAAAAAACCTGTCTTGATATTGTTGAAAGTTTACCGTTCAACAGTAATTGTAAATCTAACCAGACTCATAAATTGTAACAAGTGGAAGACATACACTTTCAGTTGGGGTGTGGGGCAGATACAATCTGTGTCATATTGTCCAATTACTCTCCTCAACTCGCCAACATCACTCCTGTTTTGTCTGGACTCAATCTCAGCAAATTTGCTCTCATCCATATCCTTTGCCTTTTCCCAAACACTAATAAAGATGTTAAATTGGGGTTGAAAAATATATATATTTCCACTGATATTTCAGTAGTAAACACTATACTTGGTAGCGTCTCTATAGGTTAGTTTCCTTATGATAGAAATTCAAAGATAGCAGTGGTATCCACTTCTTCCACACGTATATATCCTGATAAAAGTTTAGTGATAAATGATAGGGGTTTTTTCAGAAATCCTAACGAGTTAGCATTCCACATGACAATGTCCTTATCCAACTGATTTGAATTCATATCTAGTATGATTTTGTGAGATACGGTTGCCAATACTTTAATAAAATTCTACTGTGTTGCATCTACTCTTTCCCTTTATTCAGAAATTTTACAATTCTACCAGAAAAACCTATTCTATATAATTAGCTACTCAAAATTACAACAGCTAGTTATCTATGTTTAAGCACAAAACAGATGGCTTTATATCTTACTTCCTTCTCCCTGCCCCCATAACCTAGTGGAGTATGACATCTATACTTCCAACTCATTAAATGAGAAAAACAAGTAAATGGTCCTTTTTTTTTTTTTTTTTTTTTTTTTTTTAATTTAGGAAGTCTGAAAATAAATAGGAAGATGGGCCACGGGGCAGATCCCTAGCTGCTGTAAACTGTCATAGCTTCATTGATTTAAAAGCAGCTGTGGCACTTTACACCAGCTGAAGATCTGCCCCTATATGTTTTAGATATTCCGTATTCAAAAGAACATGCCTCCACTGTATTTGGGCTCCAAGTATTAACAAAATATTATGACGTATTCTTTGACATATTAAATCATATAGTCCATAAAATGCTTCTGAAAAATTAAGACAGATTATTTGTAAGTCACTGTAAAATGCTTGGGTCTTTTATTTTCCAATTTGTGCTATTCTCTCATAGTACAAGAATATTAATATTCCCTGCTCTTTAAAATATGATACATCTCATTAATATATTTTCTGCCCAGAAGTAGTCTAATTCTATTCCAAAACCAACCAACATTTTTTTCTGTAAATACTTTATAGCAAGGATTTAGATTAAGAGCACTAACTCAAAAAGCCAAAATAAATGCTAAAGTGAAAAAATAAAATCTGCTAA